ATTTTTTCAACACTTCCTTGTCACAAACTATGTATTTCATGGTTATTTTAACAAGACATGACACTCAGTGACAGACAGAAGGATTTAAAGCACTCTGGAGCCATAAATAATGTAAGTGTCTTCATTAGATCAGCTCTGATCAAGGCTTTATAATGCACAGTTGACTTCACAGTGCCTGACATTCTTCTTTCTTTCAGACCCTTTCTGTACCTGTAACAACTAATGTGCTGTTGCTTGTTTTTGGACCCAGTGTAGCACAATCAACATCATGTATGATTTTGAAATGTTAATCATCAGTTGGAATGACCAAATGGTACAAATGGAACAGCAGTGCCTAATATATCTCATGTACAGCCAGGTGTCACTACTAGGGCAATCCACAGTGCTGTCCTGCCCCCAGTTTGTCAGTACAACACTACCTCATTGCTGTGGGTGTTGGCATAGTTTCCCTGGTCGTAGTAGCTCAAAGTACATTTAAAACATAATTATGGTTCCTGAAAATTTCACTCAAATGTAAGTTTCAGAGAATTGAGTCTTGTTTAACAATTTATAAATACAATGAGTCACAATGTTGTTATGACACTTTTTAGCAGTAACTGCCTAGTGGCATTATATGAGTGATACAGATCCTTTCTATTTTAAAACTTACTAGCAGCAACATTTGATGGAGTTAATGTTAGAGGACAAGTGAAGTTATCTGTTTGAAAATAGTAAACAGTAAATGCGCATTTATTTACTGTAACTGAGGCATGAAAGTAACTCAGAAGAGGAGCTCAGCTTCTACCTGGCAGTGGCAGGCAGTAAACACCATCTGGAGGAATGGCATTGATGCATCCACAGGTATTGTTAAGTATCTCACTGCATGTGCCATAAGTGTAGCACATCCCACAAGGCCAACCAAACTGCTCCTCACACCGGCATTGGTATGTTGTGCCATTGGGCTTACAAACTACAGAGAAAATTATAATCAGACACGTAAACACATAAAATGCCAGATTGTTGCTTTTAATGTGAAAATATTTCAAGTGCATAATACTTAATTCTGTGGGTGTGTTACTGTAAAAGGTGAAAATTTCAAAATACACATCATAGCAAGCAGCCTTCTGATAACTGTGATATCTGTCCTTACCTGACATAATAGCAGCATCTGAGATGTTTGTTTGTTTGTTGATTACGTAAGGGAAAATGGTGGTGTTCAGGAGGTTCCTCAGATAATCTATCTCTG